GCATGTGGGAGCTCAGCTCTTCCTGCGATGCTTCCAGAAGCCACGCCCTTCCTCAAACCAAGTGCCTTCAAATCCTGGAAAGTGGTCAGGGGTCCTCGAGCATCTTTTTAAATGCGTCGTGGTTCCGCTGCATCTCGGATGTCATGGATTGTTGCCTGCACCACGACAGCACTCCTGAAATGTAATGAAACTTGTTGACCGGCATGAACGAGGTCAGATCATTTTTTACCGACCGCTTGTAGCAGCAGGCGCCTTTGCATTCGCTCCTCCAACTTACCTTGAATTGTCGCCTGGCAGCGAAATTGATACATTGCGACCCTCACGGACTTACACTCAACTTGACTTTGTTGGACTGGTGCACGTGTTCATACGTGTTCACTTTCAACGTGTGTCCCGAAGGGGTCGCCATGCCTCCAGGCCACTCAGCAATGGTGCACGTTGCATGGATTCTGGGTCGGCGCCTTCGCTTGGGTTGGCACTTAGAGTGTTTCGTAGCATGCTTCGAGTGTTGCTGGGCACAGCCCTGGCGCTGGCCCCTGCACACACCTCATGAGATACTGAGGCCGCCGCGTGCGACACTCTTCTGGCGCCTGTCTCTCTCACAGGCTCTCGCACTCCTACGTGGCGATCCGAGCTGTATTTCCGAATCATACGCTCCGACGAAAGAAACACCCAGCAGCTCCCTGCACATGGTGCAAGCCTGCCCAAGTACTGATGCAAGCTATCATTAGCCTCACGCCTCATTAGCCAAGTTGCCTCCGATACGCTGCGGTAGCGGCCACTGCAGCAGCACCAAGTGCCAATGGCGGTGCCTCAGCCACACTTGGCAAGCTCTTGTTCCACGCATCAGGCGCAGGCTCCGGCTACTGGCTTCGTACAACTGCAAAGATTCGGAGCCCGTGGCGATTGGGCTGAAGTCTGAAGCGCCTTCGGACTTTTTTCGCCGCTGTAAGCAACAGACGCATCCGAAAAATCGGTTCTGCTCCAGCCCCGACCCTTCATGCGAATTCCAAGCTTGGGAGTCCACCTGCGCTGAACTCAACGCACGCCGTGGTGGATTGCTGCCTCTTCCACGGTTTTGGGGCCCTTGGTCCCCAGCTCCGCGGTGCCGCGACGCGGCTCCGGGCAGCCCTGCGGAAGGTTGAGCTGCTTCTCCAGGGCGGCTGCCGCGCGCAGCAGCGCCGCGTCCTCGCCGAAGGCTGCCACGAGCTGCAGGCCCACGGGCCTTCCGTCCTCCAAAGACAAGGCGGATGGGAGTCTATACCGCTTTACTGACCCCAAGGCCCAAGCCAGTCTGAAGCTCTGCCTCCAGAAAGCCACAGGGCAGCACCAAAGCGGGGCACAAGAAAGTCGTTACGATGCACGCCGGCATCATCCTGGGATCGCACGACGTCTACAAAGACTTGAAAGGCTTACTGCATCAGATTAACCAGCAACTCTGAGAGCGAACCAAGTATCCAGCTCAGGTAATTCGAGAAAGTCCGGCCAAGCTGTTCGGTGGGGTAGCGCACATGAGCATCAAAAGCTGCATCCAGCGTCGCTGGTACACAAAGGACGTCGATCGACTTGAAGAGTTCCTGGACCTGGGCGAACTGCTTCTTCAGGCTGTCCTCTGCTTCGCCTGTTCTGGCAGCCAGACCAAGAGTTGAAGCTATGGATGCATTCCAGATAACCTCTGGCTTGATGAGAGCTTTCATCTCCGCATCTGCCATCAAATCGGCGAATTTCTGCGCAAAGCTGTTGCCTGGGATGAGCAGCTCGCATGCACAATCGACCTCTTCAAGCTTATTTGTTTCACTCCAGCATAACATTTCAAAACAGCTGTTGCACCAAATGCAGACATGCTGCCACGCAATATCAAGAACACCTCCTCGGCCTTGCTGAAGTCGATGGTATCGCTTGCAACTTCTTGCACTGAAGTACCCGATGCCAGCAAGGCTGCCGCATTGCGGCACAACGCCTACAGCACTGCGTGCGAGACAGGATTGCAGGCATGCAGGTTACGATGCTTAGGTGAAGTCGGCGATGGCCCGTCACTTAAAGGGGAGGACAGGCGGGTGCAAAGACTGGAGCCCTGGCAACCCTAAGCCCCGAGCCTCCTAGTCCCGCCATGTCCCGCCATGTCCCGCCTCGACCGTCGGGGAGTACGTGTGGCCCACCGTGGAGAAGCCGACCCTGACCTTGGCCCCCTGCTCGGCTCCAGCAATGGCGGAGGCCTCAAAAGTTTCCCCGGCAGGCAGGTTCCGTGGTACTGAAAAGTCCCATCCCTGACCGCCCTCCAGGGTGTCCAGAAAGAGCGCCACATCTCGAACGCATCGGCCCACCGGCCCATTGATACTGTGAAGGCCCAGCAGTGGACCTGACGGCGTCGCACCATCTCGGGGAACACGTCCGGGCGAGACGCGGAAGCCCACACATCCGCAGAAGGCAGCGGGGGTGCGGAGAGAACCTCCCAAGTCGGAGCCCGTTGCCAGCCAGCTCTGGCACCCTGCCACTGCCGAGCAGCTTCCGCCACTGCTGCCACCTGCTGTTGTTCGAACATCCCATGGAGATACCGTCGTAGGAAACAGCGAATTGAAGCTCTGCGAGCCGGCGCAGAACTCGGGAACATTCGTCTTTCCGATGACGATTCCCCCCCTGTCTTCAAGCTGGGTCACCAGTGCTGAGCTGCTGTCGGGGATTCGATCGGCATAGATAGGCGAGCCCTCTGTAAACCGCACTCCAGCTACAGCCTCCGAATCTTTAACCAAAACCGGCAAGCCATACAGGAAGCCTGGCGGGGGATTCTCGGGGACTTGAAAACGCGCAGCGTGAGCTCGGGCTCGGTCGAAGCAGGTGATGGGGGTCGTATGCAGTAAGGCATCTGTTTGGGATAGCCGCCCCTCGATGACCTCGATCATCTGCAGAGGTGTGACAGATCCATCCTTCAGCAACCGCACTGCCTCGTGCGCAGACAGCAAGTGCAGAGGCTTCGCTGCCATGCTTGAGAACAATCTCCTCGGCGGCTCCTCAAGGAGTCGTATCCGCGATAAGCGTGAAACAGTTGCAAGGCCCCATCTCATTCACGCTAACACCGAACTCTTCTGCGAGCTAGAGTGTCAGGACTCCTACTGTATGGGACAAATTTGGAAGCCCATCACCACAGAGCAAGCCAGGATGCCTAACGTGTTGAAACTTTACAAACCGCAAAACGGCTGCGAATGCTCTTGCTGCAGGTTGCAAGACTGGTATTCACATCGCGAACACAACCCTATTGCCGTGTCAGAACTCGGAACTTGTAACTGGAAAACAAGGAACCTTTCCACAGTGAAAAACCAACCGAGGAAGCTGCTGCATCGGAGAGGCTCGTCTTGGTGCCTGCCTGCAAACGCTCGGTGTTCGGCGAAGCACAACCTTCGGTGCCAGGCCTCCGGGGCTGTGCTGCGAGCAGCCAAGCCGGGACTGCCTGCAAGCTGCTGAGCCGATCCGCTTCCAACACCGACACTCGCGCAGTGCGCTCAGCATGCAAATGCAATCTCATCATGGCAACGTACAAGCCCCCACAAAATAAACTGTCACTGCTTGCGCTAGACTGTCGGGTGTATGCGCAAATGCCCCGCTTGCCCCAATGGACCTCTCTAGAGCCGCGAACCGATTTCAGCCCGTTGCCCTGATCGCACTTGCGCTAAACCCTGAACCCTCGACCCCGGACCCTACACCCCCTAGACTACACAGTAGATCCTAAACCCTAAACCTTTCTTGCACAGAATACTGTACAGTACCTTCCCCCCCACGTTTTTAAGGTTTCGCCGAGAACCGTGGGCCAGCGTTTCGGGCGAAGCCCTGAACCGTGGGGCTCCAACAATTTGGAGTGTCTCGGACCGAAACCCTGCACCGTCATTGCCTGCGGGTGTAATTCGACGTCGGATCTCGCCCCAATTTTGGATTGTCAAAATGTTCGTGGGTGGATTGCGGTTCGAACGCTCAACCGCGGTTTGCTACGTGGGAGCACGCAGCAGACTGTTTAATAGTGTTTCCATGTTAGAACAGGATTGGGATTACAAAGTGGTTGGCGAAACTGCCGATGGCGGCCTTGTTCCTGATGTTTGTGTTTACTTCAACAGGCTGACTCGAAGTGTAGACATATCAACAGTGTGTCCATGCTAACGCGTTGGGATTCTATGGGCGGGTGGGGTTTTTTCGAGTTCTCTAACATGGCTGATTTCATATCTGAGCTAATCGTGAACCCTAAACCCTAAACTCCCTAAACCCTTGAAAGCAAGGCGGTCAACCACTTCCGCCAGTTGGGGGGAGGGGGGTTGTGCCACTTGCCCTGGAAAACCTGGATAGGCAAGCGCGGCGACCAAAACTAGTCGTTGCAGTGTGCGCTGATTCTGCGAACTGTCAGCCAAGCCGGTGATGCAACGAACTGCCAGAAGCTTGCATTGCACCTACTTTGTGAAGAGCTGGCTCACCAGCAAGAACTCAGGCCCTTGCCGGTTGAGCTCGGCGGGACGAAAGCGAGACCAACGGTGCCTCAGCACAATGGAACCGAAGTGACATATCTTGTTCTCTTGCTGGCTCTTGAGGCAGCTTGATCTTGCAGCATGCTCACCGGCTCCACTTTCCCAAAAAGTGCCAACACCATCACGTCACAAGCTGACGAGACAAAAAGAATCCGCAAAATTGAGATTCACGCAAGCAATAGCTGCAACTGCAGCCGAGCGCTTCCTGCGAAACAGCTTGTTGGAGCTGGCACGCCAAGCGCAAAACACTTGAGGCCCGCTTTGCAGATCATCAAGGAAGCCTCATTGTCGATGTCAACCCGGATATGGTATGTCGCCCTACTGTTTTCACCCGCTGCAGAGCCGAAGTCAGAACAGCTGCAGTCCAGGGTCGACAAGTTTGTGTGATGCCAGGAGCAGCTGAGCATGGTATGCATATGTATGCATGGTGACGACCTGCTACGACCGCATACTGCTGCTGTTTTTTCTCCAGGCGTCTTCGATGCCATGCTAAACCTCGAGCTAGAGACTTCGCCTGACGTGGCTGCTTTGGTCTTAACTTGTCTTAACCGCTTCTTTCTATGTTACGAGACCTACTCAACCCAACTCCGATACTTGCAGGAGTATCGCGTCCTCTTTGGGACGGGCCATAGCAGCTGGAAACGTGTCTGCGCAGAAAAAACAGAGCCACAAGGAGCAGCCACGGAGATCGTATGCTTTGAGCGATATTCGGAAAATTCTTGCTCGCTGTCTTGATTGTATTTTGTCACTCATACTTCTGGTTCTGGCTGCCCAGCATGACTTGCTATGGTACCGAGAAACGTTGCATCGCCATGCAAGGAGACTATCCGTTCGCAGACATGCCACTGAATCGTAGCGGCCTGCAGTTTGCCGCGGTTTGCCTGACATGCGGCCCCTTTGCAGGTCTCCTTACAGGATCTGCCTTTTCGGATAGAGCCTCCTCGCAGCGCGGCGTGCGACTGGAGCCCAGGCAAGTCGACGGGGGCCACTAGCACTCTGCGAAGATGCGATGCCACGTGCTTACAGAGCTGACTCATGCATCCTTGGGGCATTGTGTTCACACATTGAACACAACGCGACTCGCCCGACTGTCTCGCCCGATTTCATGGCTCTTGGTCGGCGGTGCCACCGTGGAAAACTGCAGCTCATAGCTCCCAGTCACACTGGTCTGGGGTCTAGATGTCTATCAAGAGTCAAGTAACATCACAAGATGAGTGGACCTGTCTGCTTACATCGCTGAAGGCGCGGGCCTGTCCGCACGCGCTGTGAGTGGGCTCTCAGCCGCTCAAGCCGCCTTCTGCCTCGATTCAGCACGGCACACGACAGACACGACACGACCGCACAGGCGACCATCGCGCAACAAGGTCACTCCTTACTCTGAGCCTTCAACGCTGAACCCTTCACAGCGAATAAAAGGTTTCCGAATTCCGAAATCCCAAGACCGGTGGCCACCCACACAACGCAACGAGGTCACACATGCCGATCTAACTTAGCATCATCTGCGACATCCACGCAGGCTGCGCCAATGCAGCTTTGCGACCACGGCAGCGATTGCGATGCTTTTCCCTGCCGGAGCAACACAAGAAACGTCAGACTCCACAGACGAAGAGGCCCGATTCGGCCACAATGCCTGCAGGTTGGCTGCAGCCTGTTTCGCCGCTTCTGCCTCCTGAGCTGCTTTGGCCTGGCCGGGAAAATGCCAAAGCTGAGTCGATAAAGCAACCTTCCCGAACCGGGCCGGGCCTGGGCCTGCATTGCTTGGCGCACGCGCTCCTGCCAGAACACTTGACTTCCCCCACTGCGAAGAAGCTCTGACATCCGATCCGCGTAACCGAGGCGGGCTTGTCCTGCGCTGCCGCCGCCTCAGCAAACAGCCCGGCGGCCTGCCACGTGCTTCAAAAATGTCGCATGTGCAACATCTCAACTCTGTCCAAGCCTTCTCCGCAGTCGCACTCCGTGCATCCTCGACTGCCCTCAACTCTGCCTGCTTTGCCTCCTGGGACGAATCAAAGCTTTGCTTGCAAACGCACCCCGTTTCTCTAAATCATGCCCAGACGATCTCTGCTGGGTCTTCTCTGCTGGGTCTTTGGCACAAGTCATGCGAACACTCGGAGATTCGCGACCCAGGTAACATGAGGGTTTCGAAAGGCGGCTACAGTAGCTGTCCAGGCTCAACCACAAAAACCAGAACTGCATTACGAGTACGGTATGCTGCGCTTCTGTCTCCGCTGGACTCCCCACGCCCTCTCCTCGACGAGCTGCTTCGCTGCAGCGGCGTCCCGCTGTGCCTGGCGCGATGATCTGAGCGAGGCTTACGAGGCTTACCGAGCGATGCTCGTCACAGGGCACTGGCCTGAGCCTCGGCGTTTCGGGCCTCCAAACGCCGGCAAATGCAGAGAGGAAAACGAACACTCACGATCTGGCCTTCTGGATCTCTGCCTCCAGTGCAGCTCTCTGCGCCTCTGGGCTTTTATCGAGAATCCGCACTTGCCGGACTTGGCGTGTATCGGTGGAACCACATGTGCTGATTGCCAGATCGAATTCCATAACACGTACACACAGCCGAGAGCACGTAAGAAAATCTTTGCATTGCCGCCATGTGTATTTCAATGCAGACTTGCCAGTTGCAGAATCTGGTGAGGTTGTCGGACGCAGGCAAGATAAGTCTTGGCGAGTCCCTATGCCAACCCAAGGGCCCAAGGCTTTCTGGGCACAGCTTGTGCCGACTTTGGCATTCACAAATCATACGAGACCCCAGCATGAAAGCATGACTGATGAGGTTGCACTGCACGACTTGTTGCTGTCATGCAGGGAGGGAGTGACCCTGAAGGTCACCAATGCTTGGACCTTCTTCCGGAAATGCAGACATGCTTTCGAGGGAGCGGTGTCTTCAAAAAAGCCTCATGATTGGTTCCAGGTCCTCGATCTTTTTGTTTGCTGCAAGATGTCTGCTTGACCACAAGCTAAGGCTTCGAATTGGAGAGTGCGTCATCTGACACTTCCAAGAACAGAACAGAACAGAATCCACACTGGCAAGCCACGCAAAACATGCCAAGACCGTCTTCAGACCAAGGCCGAGCACACCGAGCACGAAGAACGATACAAGTTGCCCTTTCAGGTATCCGAAAACTGTGGCGAAGTGGCGGCCGTCATTTGCAATGTCAGAAGCGCTAGGAAATGCTGAGATACTTGATTCGAACATTGACATGCACACAGATCTCCGGATCTCACGCAAAACTTGCCTTTACAGCTTCCTTGCAAGATGGAAGCCTGTGTTGTCTAATTGACCCATCGGTCGACCTGTCCCTGTCGGTCCAGCCTCTGCCGCGCGTGCTGACTCCTCGGCCTCTTCCAGCAAGTCTGGGACGGTGCAGGCCAGCCAGGAACGGCCCTCGGAGCCAGCCTTCGCGCCAAACTTCTGAGCCTGGACAGCTGCTTCACGGGCGCGCTCCTGTCCCAGGCGCCGTCCCTGGAAAACGGCAACAGGATCCTTGCCGGCCTGGAACATCGCAAGATCGCTGGCCAGCTTGTTTGTCTCCCTCTCCTTCTCCTTGAAG